GTGACTCAAGAGAAGCGTTATTTTGACTCGGAAAAGTGTCAGGTCAAATCTGACCCAGATTTGGGTGGAATCTGACCCAGGATTCTGACCCAGAGTGTGTATGATTTGCTGATTGGGTCAAGAAGAATGGACAAGGAGCTGTAGATTCGTGCTAAGAATGGACGGGGCGAATCTTGCACAAATCTACGATTCCAAGTCTATTCTTTGACTTGAACTATTTCTTATTACAACAGTAGTTGATGCAAATAAGATCCCTGGTTTACCACAATCTCATGTTTGTGAATAAATGTAGATTCCACATCTGGAAACTTTTTGAAGTGGGAAACAAAATCACTGTAGACCTCAAATCTCTACGTGTGTGCATGAAAACGTCACTAATTTGAAAACCCAGTGGATATATGGTATTTGTTGATTTCTGAGGCTGTATGGGTGGTTTGGTCCATTTCCAAGTTGAGACTTGTTGGCCTGACATGTTAAAACAATGAGAAGTTTTGTGATTATTCCAATCTAAGATGGTAAATACATGTGCATTTTGTAAATAAAATTCTATTTTTGGAGACTCGTTTGCCAGGTGGCTTAATTAATTGTACTTGAGTAAAATGGTTGAAATATTAAGTATTACTCAAAGTAGTTTTGGGATTTTGTACATAGGTGGTTTTGTTTAAAGAAAATTGGTTATATTTTGTTTATATTTTGTACAAACTTTGGTACAAAGGTTGGTGGGAAGATCAGTTTTAAAAACTGCTAAAAGATGAAGGAATAACTGATTTGACCCAGCATTGAAGGGGTGGGAGGGTTGTTTTCAAGATTATATTCATTAGAAATTAAAACTACAAATGAAATATGAAAATAAGGATATCCTTTTTTTCTTCTTCAAATAAACCATAAAGGGCAGCTGATTGGTGCGTTATAATTTCATTAACGTTGTTTTTGTTATTTAGAAAAAACACAATATTCTGGCATTTGGATGTAAATGGAGTTTGATGACAAATTCACTGTCTGTATTTTGTAGTGGTTGAAAACGCTAAATGTTTCTTTTTATTTATGAAGTTTTTAAATAAAAGACTTTTAACATTTATATCTGTAATCACACATTAATAGACCCTCTCTTAAACATTACTAGAAAATTCTCCTTTTTTTCAAGTCGGGCAAGTCCAAGAAAACGTCTCCTTGCAGTCCCATACATAACATACCTTTATTGTCTTTATCACAAATACTTACACAAATTTTTGTGGGTACAGTATTCTCCTTTCAGATGCCCAACAGTAGAATACAAAAAATGCACTGATATAATTGCGTTTTAGACGGTTAAACTTTCCTGGGACGTAACGTGTGTGAATTCTTGAACTTGCCCAGTAATAGCCTGATGGAGTAGACATATGGATTGCATTCAGGTTTCATATTAAAATACATGTTGTTAGTATCTCACAATTGTTTCTGGTGTGATCATTTTGTGTCAGTCACATTCTGTTGTATTGCATTTTACCTTAAGATGAGTATGTGAGGAAGAGTGTATAGTGTGTGACTTTCTGGTTTGCTCAGAATTGAATGGTTCAAACCCAACATCATCCCTGTCCTCTTTGACAGATATTCAAACACAATCCAGCCCATGTGTTTATCAGATACCTGATTACCCTATTATCCGTGTTTTCTGTCTGCCGTATGACATACTTTTTTATTTGTACACATTGGACCGAAACAGTTCAAAGAAAATGCCGTTATTGTAGATTTACGCTCAGGATATTTTTGTAAGCATGTTGTCCCAAAAAGTTAGGCCTAAACCGCATACGACAAGTGTGAGTTCCCCACAATTACGGAACAAGATTGTGTGGAGTGCTCATCAGTGTGACGTTGATGTACAGAAGGGGACTGTGTTACAATGCTAGTATTATTACAACTTTTATAAGGTACAGGCAGGCGCGGATACTTTTGTTGGGGGGGGGGGGTGCCCCTGCTCCCGGCCCCCCTGCTCACACCAAAAAATTTAAACTAATACTAATAATATTTACCCATATGTCCGCCTGTCCGCAACACTCGAACATAGAGGGGTAATTTATTTTTTTTTACACTAGTGTGCGATATAATGTGCCTGATTGTCTGAATTGAACAGCGCCTCCATTGGAAGAATTGTACCAGCCTCCGGAGTGTCCGGAGAAAAAACCTACCCCCCCCCCCCCACCCCCCGCACAAATTCCTGGATCTGCCCCTGACAGGTCTGTATTTTCATGCCCAGCTGGTGAACAATGCTACTCACAATTCAGCCTTTGTAAAACAGAACCCCAGAAGAGAAATTCTTAACTACTTTTCTTGTTTTCACTTGAGCAAGTGATTCAAAAAGAGCGATTCCTCCATGGTCAACAACATTTTATTGATGTCTGATTTTTTTTTTTTCATTTTTATTCAGTACAGGCTTGAGCTGTGGAGCAGAAGAGAAGATTACAGTTGGTGTGACAGACATATCCATGCTGCAACGTAAGAACGCATCAAATCAAGTATTCATGTAAAACAATTACCCTTATTACATTCTTTCTCTTCATTTGGCTGAGAGTAGGTCATAAATGTATGGTGTTCAGTATTTTATATTAATACAACACCTGAATATATCTCCCTCATCTGATTGCAGGGAAAGCACTATCAGAGTTGATCCAGCCAATGGATGCGCGCATCGCGTCTGTCCGTGACTTCATCCACGATATCAAACCACGCATCTTACAATCAGACTCCATCGTGCCCATCACGGATCCTTACGGCCCCAGCGTGGTGGATCCAGACATGAGGTGCATTGTGGTCAGTGAGGAGACCAAGAAAGGTGGAGATGCTGTCAATAGGGTCAGACAGGAAAAGGTATGCGCCAGCTTGTATGCTTAGTTAGGTGAAACAATACTATTTGTTTCATTGCTGGTTCCATAGGGCCTATCTTTGACCCCGTTCCCACTTGATCCACCAATTGGGGGATCTGATCCACCTTTTGGCAAATTGCCGGATCAGATCCCCCAATTGGTGGATCAGATCCGGCAATTGTGTGTAGTGGGAACGCTAACCGTTATAAGGTGGATCAGGATCAGATCCACCTTTTCTGATCCACCTCTGGACCAGGATACAGATCCCCCAATTGGTGGATCAGATCCGGCAATTGCCGGATCACGATCAGATGGGAACGCAAAAGGTGGATCTGATCCGGCAATTTGACCTGTTAACATCCGCCCGGTGCACGAGTGGCGCGAAAATGTTGCGGTCTCATGAACGAAGAAACACGTTTTCAGGCGTGTAGCTCATGTGAACATTTCCAGCGTATACAACATGCACAATAAACAACCGCTGAACTACGGGCTAGCACCGCGCATGCAAAAGCGCACGTGGTATCCTAAACTACACTATATAAGCCTTATTTTTGTTCCGTGTTCGTCCATTACTAAATCTTTTTCATTCCTGAAATTTTACTTATTTTTCCATCCATAAATGACTCTGAGTCCGCACTCACCAAAAGACTTCACTTTGGCACAGAATCATGGAAAAGCTTACGAGTATGCGATGAGAATAGTGCCGATAACGCGGTACGTACGTACGGAGGTGACAAATCTGAAGTATTGATTATAGAAAATTAGAAATTGATGTCGTAGTACATCTTGTGACCGTTTCTAACCAATGAGAAGCTTCAGAACCAGGGAATCCCTTATCGATGCATTGGTGTCTGCCGTGATGTCACACAATGAGCGGCTCTGTTGGATTTCACCTGTTAATTTATGCACGCACGGATCCTCTACGGATCCGTGATTTATGTTGGTGAATTCGCTTATTTTTTGTCGATGAATTCTGATAGTGCTATTTGAAAACTGACCCATCCTGGGCTAGCATGCAACCATGCAACAATGGCACTCCCACAGAGCGCGCGTAATTCCGAACTCAGTGACCTTTCGGACCCAACATTTCCGTACGAAAAGGTGGATCAAGCATAAGTGGAAACGCGACTTGCGGTTTCGTTGCGGTAAGATAACGATCACACCAAATTGCTGGATCTTGATCCACCTTTTCCCAATTCAAGTGGGAACGCGGTGTTAGTGTCTTCTTGGCACATCTAACTGAATGACTCACTGTCTGTTAGTTTGTGAAGAATTTTAGTTTAAGGTAGAGTAAATCATTTGCAGCTATCCAAAAAGTAACTGACGAAATTATTGTTGAAAAGCGTACTTGGTTTAAAGATAGTAATGGCACTAAACTCCCTGTGAAATTATTCATTCTGGCATGCTGTCTTTTTGAAGAAAACACTAAAGGAAGGTCTTTTCCAAAGATGCATCTGAAGACGCATATTTTTGGAAATTTCTGTCGGTAGTTCGTTTTGAATTCAGTGAAGCTGTGAATGGGTGCGCGCAGGCATTGACACGACGCACACGTACGCGCGGTTACTGTAATGCTTCGGTTCAGTGCGTGACATCATGTAGCTGCAATCGGCTGAAGGAGAACGTGTTCTGGATGCTGATTTCGGGCGCAATTCAAAACATGACTCAGCAACTTTTGGATTGAAATTGAGATCCTAGAATATTGTTTTCTCTGAATATACAGCATTCACTGAGCTAAAACTTCATCAGGTTAGTTGTTAAGCACTCTTCTTTAGATTTTGAGCACTTTTGTTGCTTCAAATGAATAAAAAATGCTCCAATGACAAATGACTTACTCTACCTTAAAATCATTGTAGCAATACCAAACAAAATTTCAAAAGAGACGAAAATGCACCCCTCCCCCCAAAAAATGAACAAATTTGAAGAAAATATTTTGACTTTTGGATATATTTATTTGCGTGTTTCAAGATTTGAGAGTATTATTATCAGGCTTTGAAAATAATTTTTTTAAATCTTGCATTCAGGGTCTGTGTGTACTAGACATACATGAGATATCTCTAGTAGAGGACATCAATCATGCTGCACATGAAGAAGCTAAGATAAGTTCCTCAACACAAAGGATTCGACTCCTGGGAACACTGCTCAAGCAACCCACGGTGAGTAATGCAGTGTTGCATTCATGTTGCATTCAGGGTCTGTGTGTACTAGAGGTACATGAGATATCTCTAGTAGAGGACATCAATCATGCTGCACATGAAGAAGCCAAGATAAGTTCCTCAACACAAAGGATTGGACTCCTGGGAACACTGCTCAAGCAACCCACGGTGAGTAATGCAGTGTTGAATTCATGTTGCATTCAGGGTCTGTGTGTACTAGACATACATGAGATATCTCTAGTAGAGGACATCAATCATGCTGCACATGAAGAAGCTAAGATAAGTTCCTCAACACAAAGGATTCGACTCCTGGGAACACTACTCAAGCAACCCAAGGTGAGTAATGCAGTGTTGCATTCATGTTGCATTCAGGGTCTGTGTGTACTAGAGGTACATGAGATATCTCTAGTAGAGGACATCAATCATGCTGCACATGAAGAAGCCAAGATAAGTTCCTCAACACAAAGGATTGGACTCCTGGGGCGTTTTCGAATCCCTGTTCTTAACAACACGCGTGTAACACGAGAACATGTTCTCGAGCTGGTTGTTACGAACGCGCGGGTGTGTGTCGCATCGATATAAAGCAATGCAAAATGGCCGACAATCGTCTGAATTTGTACTTAGGCATGTTAGGCCTATTCCAAATGAACGAGGACGACTGTTGCAAAACCAGACATGCGGGGATGAAATTGCAGACCTGCACTATACTAGTATTCTTATTCAAATCATTAGGCAAAAAAAACAACAAAAAAAACAAATTACGAATCTGCACAGTCCGCCATTTTGTTCAAGCTGCACCTCGCCGAACCCTCCATCAACTGGGGAGTGAAAAAATCGATCCGCGAACGCCCTCTCGGGTCTGTTCGTCACGTTTGAGACCGCTGTTCTCGTGTCGGGTTAACCCGAGTGTTGTCAAGAACAGGGATTTGAAAACGCCCCTGGGAACACTGCTCAAGCAAACCACAGTGAGTTTTTAGGCTAAAAGTGAAACCCTTTTCTGCGGAGTGTCAAGGTTTCGTTGTATGGCTATGCTAACCACAGAATATAAACCATTCACAAAACAGTTGCTCTGTCAGGTTTCCATGAAGAGACCACTTATTGTAGTGCATTTTCCAATTCCATTCAATTATGCATGGATTATATTCAATAATTCACATTTTGCAGTGAAACACTGAGTTAAAGATGAATTTAGAAACAAAATATATCATACATTCTAAATAAAATAGTATCGAGACTTAAAAGTTATTTGCAAACATTTAAAAATGAAATTGTCAAAATGTCATGAAATATCCTACTCGATTGTAAGTAAATAATAGGATCAAGCATCCTGTGAAATCATTGTGGCTACTAAGCTGCCATTTTTGAGAAGAGAAATTACCATCATTTCCAAACCATCATACTGTCCAATGGGAACCTATGCTTTGAAAAGTGACGACGCATTTTTTGGAAGTTTTCTCAAAAAGTACGATATCTACTGAGCTGAAATTTCAACAAATTTGTTTTGTTCAATAACTGCTTCAGAATTATTAAATTGTTGTTCCTTGAGTTAGCAAAATGGTGTCCATTACCTTTAAACTTCAATTAAATATGCTTCTCAAACCACTGGATTTAAAACGGCTGCAACCTGTTATATTAAATAATTATAATAAAAACAGAGGTGTAAGTATTCTTATTAAAAAGACATTTTAGTAAAAGATAAGATAGAGCAAAAATAAGGATAGAGTTCTGATTTTCATCGGGTTTTTGTTGCAGTGAAATGTTGTATTTGTAGCATTTTGAGTAACAAGGAAGATGAGTGGTTTGCAAAAATGAAACAAAAAGTGGTTTTCTCTATAGTCCTCCCAAGATTGAAATCGGCACTTGCAAAAAAATTCTTTGTGGGGAACAAAGTAAATATCTGCATGGCGTTCGGTTTTCCTTTCGATAAAATTGTTTGGAGAGGTTGGATTTCATCTTTTACCAATTGTTTTAAAACTTGCCCCATAGAATAAAGATCTACCTGGCACCCCATACGTGATTGGTCTGACCGGTGGCATAGCCAGCGGGAAGTCTTCAGTATGTAGACGGCTGGAGGGGCTCGGTGCTGCAGTGATTGACTGTGATAAGCTGGGTCACAAGGCCTACCTACCAGGCACGCAGGGATTCAGGAGAGTGCTGACTGAGTTGGGACAAGGTGGGTGCTGGAAAAACTCCAAAGTATTTTTCAACAAGATAAAGCAAGTCTAGTAAAGCTGAGTGGACAAAATTCACAGAGCGGAAAACATATTCTTTTCGTTGTTGGATTGAAAATGAGATTTGAAGGTTTGCATGGTGGACATGAACAATGAATGGGTAGTTTGCGGTAACACAATGTGAATGATATCTCTTTGTAAAGTTGTGTGGTTCTGAGAAGAACCAGTTGGTTTGAAAGTTTGAAAAAATTATTCCCACATGGTGTTTCCGCAAACCTTTCATTCATTAGTATCTCCGCCATGCAAAGCCTCAAATCTTACTTAAGAACCAGTTGGTTTAACTCGACGTTTCGAATAGTGTGCTGTTTGTCAACAGGAGGTTGATGACAAACAGAGCATACTGTTCGAAAGGTTGAGTTAAAACAACTGGTTCTTCTCAAAACCACACGACTCAAAAGAGATATTCACATGGTGTTACCGCAAACCTCCTGTTCATTGGATTGAAAATGGCTGAAAAGTTTGTAGAATAAGCTGTAGTGGTATTACGTGATGGAAATGAGAGATTCACTGTCGGTCCTCGCATGGAGACTTGACTTACTGCAAACACATGTATCATGAAGTTACAAGAAATGAGCTGTGCCAGACTAATGGACATCTGGTATCCACTAATGCAACGACAGTCATTTTCTGAGGTGGCACAGCGGTAGCACCAGGCTCGTGCAAGTCGCGCTCAGGTAGTACGCACGCACTCAGGGGTCTTTGGACCAATAGGGCTACCAATGCACACGTGTTTCGTCTTTAAGAAAGCATGCTTCGTGCGCGCGGGCATCATGGCCCCACTAGAAAATGGCTTCTAATCTTGTTCGATGAATTACACTGTAGATGATACATGACTTACATGAATAGACAAGCCTCGTAAAGCTGCTCCTAGACTGGTGTATTAAAGTCATAAGGGAGAGTCAGTCAGTGAGATAAATAGCCAGGCTAATTCACAAGTAACTGTCAGTTAGTGAGTCTGTGAGGTATAAAAAGGACTTAAGCTGGTCCTGTCTGGGACCGTCAACAAAATTCTGGGACCGGCGGGAAAATTTGTCGGTGATTTCGATTATTTTGAAGTCATCAACTGTGAAAGGTGTAAAACGTATTTGTTCCGCAGATGTTGTTGGGCATGATGGAAGCATCAACAGGCGTGCCCTCGGCGCTAAAGTCTTCCAAGACCGATCCCGTCTGGACCGGCTGAACCAGATCGTCTGGCCGGAGATTGCCAGCATGGCTCGGAAGGAGATGAGGGTCCTGGGTGATGGAGGATGCCTGGTGTGTGTGCTGGATGCAGCCGTGCTGATTGAAGCGGGGTGGGACGGCTTCTGCCATGAGGTATGGTCATGCATTATTCATGAGGATGAGGTGAGTCACGCCTCCCATTGGGTGATTGAAGCGGGGTGGGATGGGTTATGGCATGAGGTGTGGTCATGCATTATTCATGAGGATGAGGTGAGTCACGCCTCCCATTGGGTGATTGAAGCGGGGTGGGATGGGTTATGGCATGAGGTGTGGTCATGCATTATTCATAAGGATGAGGTGAGTCATGCCTCCCATTGAGAGATCAAAGCTGGGTGGGATGGGTTCTGCCATGAGGTATGGTCATGCATTATTCATAAGGATCAGGTGAGTCACACCCCCAATTAGGAGATTGAAGATGGATGGGCTGGGTTCTGCTATGAGCTGTGGTCATACATAATTCGCAAGGATGAGGACAGTCACGCCTTCCATTGATGAGTGAAGCTTGGGTGGATTAGCTCTACTCTAAGTTGTGGTCATGCATTATTCATAAGGATGAGATAGGTCACACCTCATTCATTATGACAAGACCCCGCCCCTTTGAGCATCTTTGCACACAGTGTTATTATTGGACTAGCCCACATTTAGTGCAAAATTTAAAAAAATGGACATGAATCATTCACTACAATGAAAACAGTCATGTGCACTTCTCAGTCACTCTGAAATTACACTCCATTCTCATTATGTGATACTCAGCTTCTCAACATGTGTAAATCATAACTAGAGTAAGATTTGTTTCTGCATTTTTACTTTGGTGACATGGTCCTTGTAGTTTATTCTTTTTCATCTGCTTTCAATTTTATTTTTTTGCCAGGCCTTGAAGCGCATTCTAAACAGGGATCGTCTACCAGAAGAGAAGGCACGACAGCGCATAGAATCCCAGCTCAGTAACCAGGAACGTGTGGATCATTCCAATGTTGTCTTCTGCACCTTCTGGGAGCCAGAGGTCACTCAGAAACAGGTACAAGTCGGGTTTAGCCTTTTTTTGTCGAGCCCTTCAATGAATATTATTTGTTACCTTTTACAAAATCCATCAATTCACACAAAAGTTGGGGACAGAAGAGGAACCCCCCCCCCCCCAAAAAAAAAATAGACTCCAAATTTTGCAAGAGCTGCATGTTTCTAATGTGCTTATAAAATAGTCACTTTATACATGTACCTTTTTGCAATGAAAGACATTTTTCTTCATTCAGGATTTCAAACATATATATGAAGAATTTTGTTTTCCAAAAACGCTGCGAATGTTTTTTCATCTCCTTTTGGAATCCCGCCCTCTCCTGGCTGCCCAAAGCCAGTTGTGATTGCTTATTGACCCTCCACATACATTCTGTGCCAAGTTGTCCTTTCAGTCAAAATCAATCAAGTGACTGTTTTCAACTATTAAAAATTCCCAGACTACATAAAGCAGGGTTGACTGGCTGAGACTGCTTATGTAACTTGATAAAGCTATGCCTTGACTGTAGGTGATTGATAAGCCAGCTGTGCCTACCGCTTGTCTTTTGTCTGTTGACTGAATATATGACTAGTCACTGTGCTTGCTTGAAATTATTATGATCTGACTGTGTAAAAGGCTTCGCAGGGGAAGAGGATTTAGTTTTTGACTGTCTGTGACTGTTCAGATAGCGGGAGGGTTAATTTAAGAATACATGAAAAATGTAGTTCAGAAATTATGGCTGTTATATATACGTGTATAAATTTGTCATCACCGTGCATTTTTTTCACATTTTTTAAACGGATATAGCATTTTGGAAACACTCTCTATCAAAGTTGGTGCACAGGTCAAAAAGTACCGTACCTCCCCTCTTACCACAGCGATTTCATTAAAACCATGCTGACATAAGTTGTACATTGTCTATCCATTTGATTGTATCTTAGGTGGAGAAGGCTTGGGCTGGGCTTATGGAGAGATTACAATCTCGTGAAGCTAAACCACAGCAGCCTAAACTATGACGGCGGAAGGCACCAGGAGCTTGATGTAGCTTTATGTCATCAAAGGTATGACTCAATCTACTACGAAAGTGAAATGTGGCTGAAAAGTAGGGTGGGCTATTTTGGGAATCGGGTACCCGACTGAAAAAACATGGGTACCCGGGAACCTGTTAAAGAAACCCAACCCCAAAATTTAAATCTCGGAGGTTGCACGGGATGCGACACTTATGACAGTTCTGAAGGTCAGTAACCACACCTACTCACACAAGTGTGTATTTGCCTGCCATCGGGGACCCCCTATTGTCCCTCTTTTGTTTGTACTAACTTTTTAGGACGACCTCCCATATGTTTTGTACACGAATCCAAATAGGGAACCTCTCGGGAATTGGGGATCCTATTGTCCTCTATTGTTCATCGTCCCCTATTGAATGCAGAAACAAACTCGCTGCCACCATCAAACCTTTTGTGCCCGATATTCTAATTAAACCTCTCTGGGCTCTTGGACTATTATATTTGCATCAATTTACGATTCTACATGATATGACATTTGAAACTGGAAACCGTCTATTACTAGTCAACTATTTGTTTGCTAAGTAAATTTGTGCTATGTTAATTCTGTTAAACTGGGCCCTGTAGCCATGTTCAGAGCTGCAAAGGACAGACATTTCCTTGAGTGCAGAGAACAAGTTAATTGGCTTATTGTAAAATATAAAGGAATAACCATTAGGGTGTGTTTCCGATGGCTCCACGTCTGAATTTTTTTCTTGTGAATATTAATGTCAGTGGGAATTAGCTTCATTCGTTTATGAGATGTGGGCACATTTTTCCCATGGTGGGCATAATGAGAACCCCGCCTCTTTTTTCAATATGGCTGCCACGCCCCTAAAAGGGTGTGTTCGCGATGGCTCCACATCTGGAATAGTTTTTCTCATAAATGTCAATGTCTGTGAAAAGTTCCATTTCTCTATGAATGTGGGAACAATATTTCCAGGGTGGGCATAATGAAAACCCCGCCCCCTTTTTTCCTAATATGGTTGCCACGCCCCTAAAAGGGTGTGTTCGAGATGGCTCCACATCTGGAATTTTTTTTCTCATGAACATAAACGTCTGTGGGACGTTTTATTCGTTCATGAAATATGGACACAATTTTTCCAAAGGTGGGCGTAATAATCACCCACCTTTTTTTAAATGGCTGCCACGCCCCCAAAAAGGTACTTTTCAGGTGGCTGCGAATCTGGAAAACACTTATAATATATGTAATTATGTCTTTGTGAAGTTTCCTGCTTTTGTGACAAGTGGGAATAACCGTTTTCACTACGGGCATGACAAGTCCCGCCTCCTTTTTTAAGTGGATGCCACGCCCCTAAAAGGGTAAATTTGCGATGGCTCCACATCTAAAACATTTTCTCGCATGAAAAATATGAACATCTGTGCCAAGTTTCACGCTTTTATGCAAAAGTGCACAATTCATCAATATTTTGTCACATATCCGCTGGACTTTTGGTTATTGAAGCTGACCCTAGAGCTGACTGACTTGTTGGGTAAGTTCGATGACCCACGGCTGGTACCCGCTGCATGCGCTTTGCCAATACAATTTGGTGCGTTATTTCCGGTTCCCCTCGTACGCGTGTAAATGTATACCAAGTCATGTTGTAGCTAAAACAGCTGGATGATTCCAAAGACCAAACTACTGGCTGGATGAAACAACTTCCTGGTACATGTAGTTGGGTGTTGTTATGATGATAGGACCACACTTTCTTGCTCATTTTGAATGAATGGTAGGTATTAGTATTAATATTGTGATTGGAAAGAATGTTGCAACCTGCATGACGCCACTGTTTTCATTATCATCTCAATAAAGGTCAGTCAATGCATTGCAAAAAAAAATTGAAAAGACATTTCCAATTTGTTAGGAAATAAATCGAAAATGTTCTTCACTCTCCGTAGACTTTGTACACAACCGCTGAAGTGGCGTCTGGTCACTACATTCTTTTCATCTACTTAAATAAAAAGGACCATTTGATTAAAAACGTAAAAATTAAGAAATCTATTAAAAAACTATAAAAATATTGAGTAGGGGCCTAGTGCTGTGCGGGGATTCGAACCAGGGTCCCCAGCTCATTGAGCTAGGGTCTGTTACTCCTAAAACTATGATGCTCCGCGTGAGCGGAGCCTCATAGACACAGAACCCCGCAAAATTGTTTGCAGCACAAAACACTAATTAAGTACACAGACATTTTCCACAGAACCGCTACACAGTTTGCCCCTAAACTTTGTACTATAACTCATGACATACTCAGGTTATGTGCGCAGAACAATCATCGCTGGATTCTGTCGTTTTTTTTGCCAAAATGATGAAAAATATGCCCTTTCCGCACTGAGCAAACCTGACACTTGAAATGTGCACGCATTATGATCATCGATCGATGATTTTCGGTTCGCTAGGAGTGTGCCGCTGATTCTGGAGATTAGCTGGCTGTGTAGGGCATTAAGCGATTCACTTCAGTGACTTGGAAGTACCCACATAATACTGGGCAAGGGCCAGCGCTATAGACAAATCTGGGGGCAGCTATTTTCTGCAGTGGCACAAGGCTAGGGCAAATTAGCAGGCTCAAACACGCACTCCTTTGACACATAAGAATACCAAAATGCGTGTGTGCCTCGTCCTTAAGAACGTGTGCAGCATGCGGGTGAGTGTAACACCACCGAAGTGAAAACTTTCTGGTCACCGGATTCCACTCTACCTGCCAGAGATGATTAGGCCTTTTACAGAACCTAATTGTTGGTACCTTTACATCGGTACAGTAAGATTACTTTAACCCTAACAATACCCATCCAGCCAAACTCCAACACCAGGGTTTGTTGGAATCTGTTAGGATGAGTACTGCACTAGTAAACTGAGGCATACCACCAATAATCAGAGTCCTACAGTCCCTTGTGTGCCTTTTTGGAGAATGTTCAATTTTAATTTTTAAACCTATGGTGAGTTACCATTGAGTTTACTTGTGACCAGTAAACTCAGTGGTAACTCACCTGTCAGGAAATTGACAACTAATATGTACAAAGAACACCAAGTTTTCACCTACATGCAAGTACATGTAGTAATTTTAATTAAAAATTACTACTTAAGTGAAAAATTGGTGTTTCTTTGTACTTGTTAGTTGTCAATTTCCTGACAGTTTATATTTCTCATCTTTCCCACAGTTAATTGTCTGGATGTATCCAGCTGAGGGGCCTACTGTATCCTGGAAAAAGTTCTTGCAGATAGAAATGGTGGACAACATCCAGCTTCTTTGTGATCCAAGCAACAAAGAAAATCATCTGTAAAAAGGTAAGTTGACTTAAGAAATGTAAAGAACATGCTCATTGAGTATTGAGAGAATGTGCATTCTGGCAAAATGCAACGGATCTGGACACAGGCCGTGGCGGGGAAAAAATGCCAAAAAAACTGAATGGGAGTGGTTTTTTTATTTTTTTTTTTATTTTTTTTTTTATTTTCAGATTTATCGATATTTGTAATCTTTGATATGTCTACTACATATATTTTATAGAGATACATTACAAGTTGTGGAGTGCAAGTGTTTTTATGGAAAAAAAATAATTGGCATCTTTCATTTTCACAAATACAAACTTGAACTTTAAATGCCTTTTTCTCAGTACTTTACTTTTTTAAGAGTGAACTTTAAATAGCCATAACTTGTCAACACAATATCTGATTGGTGGTAAGGAGCATTTTATTCTCTTTCTTAATATGCAAAAAACCTCTTATTGAGGGTACCTTTTCTTAGTAAGACATTGGGTTAGTTTCCTTTCAACCAGACTGTTAAAATAGGATAAGTAAGCAATCTAAAGTATTAACTTCAGGACTTTGTGTCCCATTAACCAAATGCTTGTAACTGTTCATTGGTGTTGCCATTTCACCGCTTTACCATTCATAATTGCTGTAAACTCTGTTGATCACCACAAGCTGTTGTTCCTCCCCAGAGCAAAGAAGTTTGGAAACACCCAACATGGCCGACAGTCAGCAAGGCGTTGGCAGCGGGCGTGCCCGTGGTCGGGGGCGAGGCCGCGGCCGTGGGCGGGCCTCTGCAGGGCAGCAGCAGGGCCAGCCCCGGAGGCCTGGGGAGACAGCGCCTGCCACGCCCATGCCTAGTGGTGATGCTGAAGCCATGCCTGCCCCAGGGAGGGGCAGAACCAGGGGAGGGGCTTCCCAGGTCCCTGGATCAGGAGGTGGGTGTCTGTTGACAGAAATTTTACAGACTGAAGAGTTACATGTTAAGTGCTCTTTAACATTATTTGAGTTTTGTCTTGCCTGAACTTTGTAAAATTGTTTTGTAAAAACGTTTTGTAAAATTGGTCTAATTTGAAAAGTTGAAGTCCAATTGGAACCAAACATGGGTCAAAGATGCAACATGGAAACCTTCAAGTGATGATGTCAAAGGTCACATACCAAGGTCAAAGGTCACTCTTTACAGATAATTGTGGAAGCAGGCGAGACGCATGGTTCGAGAACCATCTTGTTTTTCTTCTAACAATTTTCAATTTTTCAAATAAACCACAAGTTCATGAAGTTACACTTCCATTTGGTATTCGTTTTCATTTTGTATTGAATATTAAGATGGAAAAACTACTTTTTTTTGGTCTACTGTAGACATTATCAACCCTCTGAAAATATGAAGCCGACCATGTTAACTTCGCAACGTCAGGCCAATCAGGTCAATCCAGTCAAAACAGTTGTGACAGCAGTTTTATTCATTTTCATTTTATTCATTTTCTCTGAAAATATGCTTTTATTTTGGGTTGTTTTGTGCCTGTGCCCATAATGTATGAAATATATGCCTGAATTATTGTCAGCTGCAAGCAATTTAACCCTCTGATGCAAGTATGCAAACATACAATCTGTGCCAAGTTGTCATTTCAGTCAAAGCCAATCAAGTGACAGTTTTCAACAGTTAAGGGCTCCCAGCCTACCGGTACATAAAGCAGGATTGACTGGCTGTGACTGGTTACTTGATCCAGCTATGCTTTGACTGTAGGTGATTGATAAGCCAGCTGTGCCAGCCACTTGCCTGCTTTTGTCGGTTGACTGAATTTGACTAGTCACAGTGCTTGCTTGAAATATGGTCTGACTGTTGGCGGCTAGCCTGTGTATAAAAGGCATGAAAGGGGAAGAGGATTTATTTGTTTGACTGTCTGTGACTGTTCAGATAGCAGGAGGGTTAATAAGCATGGATGGAACTTTTTTGCGCGATGTTTCATACAAAAGTGATAACTTTTTGTGATGAAAGTGATTATCTTTTGTATTGCTAAAAAAATTGCAATTTAAAAACAAAATCTATTTTTTGGAGGTTGAAACTTAACACAAAAAACTTAGAGCAAATTTACATATACATGTACATGCTCTATATTCAAATCAAGATGTCAGATGTAACAGGGACAGGGAAAAAGTGGACCCCAAATTTATAGAATGACCCTATAGATACAGTATGAGTAAAAAAAACTATACACTTTTATAATTGGCCATAGTTTCATTCTGTAGGAATATAGATAAGATATTTTTATAAGTAGTTTTCAGAGTAACTCTTCCTGCCTCTTCCGGTGACATTTTCACTGGATTAGTTTTCATGCATGACTGCACAGGAGACAATTAAAGGGGTCGGGTGAAATCTGACTTGCGCCAACTGGTTTATACTCACACTATTTATACTACTTTCTTTGTTACACAGCTGCTATAAGCATGGAGCAAAGAGCGGCCATGGCCGAGAGTTACCATCCTCATGCCCCGAGACCAATGCCAGCTGAAGCGCCCCCTACAGCTCAGATGGCAGCGTTGAGCATGGGCGGGGCCCAGGGTGCTGAGGGAGGGGGAGTCAGTGGCCGCGGCAGACAGACAGAGCTCCGCTACGGAGAACAAAAAGCACCCAGACCCATTGATAAGAGAGGTAGGTCTGGAGCCCTGTAATCCCTTATTGATGTGCCAATAACAAGGGTGTGAAATCTCAGCTTTAAAGCTGATTTCAGCTATTTTTATTAGTTTTGGATTCAGCCTTTTAAGCTTTTTCCCTCACTTGCTGTGTAAAAAAGTATAGGAGATTCCCAAAGTTCAGCTTTTTTACACCTTTTTCAGCTGTTTTCAGCTATTTTTATCAGTGGTCACTCACACCCCTGCAATAAATATTCCATTTTCTCATCTAAAAGTCTTTAAAGGTAGGGTAGATCATTTGTCATTAGTGCAGTTTTTCCCACAGCGCCATGAAAATACGCCTTGGGCCTTAGCTCACTGTGTTGGTTGGTAGGTAAGTTTGTTTCTGCATTCAATAAGGGACAATAGCCTAGTCATGTTTTAAATTGCACCCTAAATCAGCGTCTGGGACAAGAGAATGATTCAGTAACCAGCATTGCTGTTGTTGCACAGGCACCTACCTCACAGCAACAACAGCATTTAAGTTTGAAGTCATATCTCTCTGTCACAATTGAGTGAGAACATGTGCACAAACTCCATTGTACATTAAAAAAAACACACATTTTTCTCATAATCTTCCAGGCAAGAAAGGAAAGCCGGTGGAGGTCTTGACCAACTGTTTCCGCATGAAGGCTGCTGATCAGTGGCTTCTGCACCAGTACAGCGTGGACTTCAGCCCCGTTGTGGACAACCCTAGGGCACGTCATGCCCTGCTACGGGCTCACTCTGAGATCCTAGGCACCCCCATGGCCTTTGATGGGATGATGTTGTTCCTGCTTCGAAGGCTTGATGAGCCGGTGAGTAGATGTAAAATGTCTTTTTAACCCTAACCTTCCCAAATCTTTCAAATCCTCTCTGCAAAAAATGGAGGATTTTGCAAGGCTATATGGCAAAAGTATGTCACTGATTTCGAAAAGAAATATTCTTAACATGAGATAAATGCCATATTTCTAGGAACCTCCCTCAATCTTCTAAAATCCTCAGCTGTATAGGAAATCAAAGTTGCATTCTTTGTTCCTGCCCCATGTTATGTGATTTTAGCTGGGCTGTATACCTTCCTCAAAACTAAGGATCTGAGGATCTGAGAGTGACAGGGCTTTCACTACAGGGTAGTAAAAAAAAAAAGAAACCAAAATGTCGGGACCATTGTTTCAGTGAAGTTCTGCATGTAGCACTTTAAAATCTAGCATATTAAAGCCCAATTCATAAGCTTTCTTTTAGTAAAAGAATCATTCAAATTACTCATGTACTTTTCAAGTTACAGAATTTTTAACATAACCACCATTTTAAAGTTCTGTCCATGGATCACAAAAAGGTAAATCTTTTTAAGCAAAACGAAAACAAATCACATAGGGATGTGTGTGAATTGTTTTCGTTTTACTGAAAGAACGCTCACCTTTTTTTGTGATCCGTGGACAGAACTTTAAAACGGATGGTTGTGTTTAAAATTCCGTAACTTGAAAAGTACATGAGTGATTTGAATGATTCTTGTACTAACGGAAAGCTTATGAATTGGGCTTTCATATCTTAGATTTTGAAAGTGCTACATGCAGAACTTTACTGAAACAATTATCCCGACATTTGGGTTTCATTTTTTTTTTACTCATACACACTGTAGAGTTGTATGTACATTTCACATATTTTTCAGAAACAATCAATCTCAACACAAGATGCAAAGTTGTAAAGATGTTTTCATGAGATGTATATATATTTTCTATACTTATTTTTGCCTTGTTTTGCAAACTCTAGGTGACCAGGTTTCAAACCAAACGCCGTGACTCTGATGACATCATCACCATTACTGTGACTCTCAAGAATGCGCTGCCTCCTACTTCACCAACCTGCATGCAGGTTTACAACATCATCTTCCGCAAGTATGCTTGCTCTTTTTTTTTTCATCGTTGCTGAAATTAACCCTAAACCCCCAAGGGTTTTTTTGCTGGGAACCATCCTCAATCCTCCAAAATTTTGCACTTATGTTCAAATGTAGGTTACCCTGCGCCTCAATCCTTCAAAATTGTCAGACAAAAAATGCATTCATCCTCAATCCTCCAAAATCCTCCTCCAAACACCATTCATCCTCAATCCTCCCAAATTATGTGCTAAGACACCATTCATCCTCAATCCTCCAAAATCATGTGCTAAAACACCATTCATCCTCAATCCTCCAAAATCCTCCTCCAAACACCATTCATCCTCAGTTCTCCCAATTCCTCATGTTTCTCAAACACTATTCATCCTCAAATTAGGTTTTGCCCTTCACCGACGTTTAAACACTGTATACTGGGTGTGTTACCTCCAGAGTGAAAGTTGGAAAAAATCACTCGGGTGGGACTTGAACCCACGACCTCCTGCTTTCTAGTGCAGACGTCTGAGGTCATGGGTTCGAGTCCCACCCGAGCGATTTTTTACAACTTTCACTCGGGAGGTAACACACTGAGTATACAGTGTTTAAACGTCGGTGAAGGGCAAAACCTATAATTTGATTTATTTCCCCAACGCTGAAATTCCACCATTCATCCTCAATCCTCCAAAAACCATCTAGAGGATTTTGGAGGATTAGGGTTAAAGAACACATGAGACCCAGGGTTTTTATTTAATGGCATACTAAATAATGACCATCCGTGAAAAGCTGAAACAATCAGTCAGAAATGACTTAGAAATCAATCAGAAATGATTATTTGTATTCTCCTTTGTGAAAAATGACAAATTTGATTGACAAATCTCCAAAACTTTGAAGAAAGTTGAGTCTGTGTGGAAAAGTAGGAAAGTAATTAGTTTGCTGTCATTTTATTTCTGTTTTATGGAAATAATACTTTATTTTGAAAATTATCAACAAGTTGTTAACAGTGACAAAGATGCACCTTTACAATGCCTTCTAAGCTATTTGCACAAAATGTTCAAGTGTTATTTTCATTTCATGGCCTCTTAAAAACAAAGATACAATTTTGCTTATTTGTATATATTTTTTAAGGAATTCAATGAAGCGTAATCTATGCTTGCAATTTTTTATCACATTGTTACTTTCTCTGTTTTAGGATCCTTGGATTGGTTGGCTTTGAGCAGATTGGCCGGAACTATTTCAACCCCAACGCCAAAAGGGAAATCCAGCAACACAAGTAAGTGAAACGATTTGGCTCATGTCTTAAGTTGAACGTAGATGTGAAATATCTGTAGCAGTAGGTCTGCTTGGCTTTGAGTTTCATTAAAAATTGTTTGAAGTGGCTGAGATTGTATATCAATAGACAGAGCCATTAGCAGCAATATGAATGGCCGTTAAATGTGAGAGCCTTTTGTGTGGGTTTTGCAAAACATCTTTAATTTTTGCAGGATTGGTAGTAAAGTGAGGAAATTTGACACAGTACTGCACATGTTGGCCCATGTAAACTTGCTATATGTAACCTGCCATATCATAATGAGGAATAACCCCCACCTTTGACTTTCAAGTAACGTACATCATGTTAAAGCGTAAATCATTAGCGTTCAAATGATACCAAATTTATTTCTGTAGCTTAATGTACTCCAAAGATATGTCGCAGGAACTTCAACAGTGTCCCACCGAACTTTACCAACCTCATTTCGAGAAAAACGGCTTTGTAGAAAGAAATGCACATTGCGCCGCAAACGGCAGTGGAAAACGTTCTTCAGTTTCCAACTTTTGGGGATATTTGTTCCCAACAAAAAGGCAAAGTGTGAATCTTGGATAACTTGGCTTTTCAAAAATAAAAAAAAAACCAACATTGATTTCAGGAGTTGATTACATTGTTTTGGGGGACATTCCTCATTTTGCCACAGTAGGTCACATATTGTCGCTTTGCTCACGAAGTGACAAAAACTTTAAAAATCGACAAAAGTTCATCCAGAAACAATCGCATTTGAAGTTATTTATTTTTTCAAAAGACATTTTCGACTACTTCGCAGTAAAAGAATTTGGAAATGTTTCCATTGTCCCATAGCTTATGATTTGCTCTTTGCTGATTCATAGTTGTTTGTTAAAAATAAATAATTAAATTAAACAGTAATTCATTAATAAAACTTGTTTACGCTTCGTGAAAACATCAATACTTTGGGTCCCATATTTTCCCCATTACTTTGTACACAGTTTTTGTGACTTCGTGGGAACATGAATCGCGGAGGCTTTACTTATTTGTACTTTTGTCGATGCAACAAACTTGCAACTTTTACGCGTCATACGACAGTTGAGCGCACGCGCGTCTGTCCTTTTTCAACAACGTTCGCGCGCACGTGTATGCTCCCATCCTGACGCGTGAAGACCAATGTGTAGTTCCTCCGGCCCTGCCCACGAGGTGACTTTCTGTCACTTCGTGAAAACATTTTACACTTTTTACACTTCGTAAAAACAAAAAAAACGGATTTCAGGCTTTTTGTCAAATTTTGTTTACAATAAGTAAGAAAGTAAACAATTTTTCGCTTTGAAACTTGGTCAAATTGTTCCTTGAGACAACTATAATAAAAAGGCTAGTAAAACTCAAAATCGAACAGTTATCGCTTTTCAAGGTTTTTGTCACTTCGTGAGCAAAGCGACAATATGGCAGATCAAAAGTTTACAATGGCAGAAACAAATTAAATTATGCTTACACAGTGTTTAAGACTGTTTTTTATTGTGGTGATTGTTCCCCTTTCCTTGATGCTCCTTTCTCTCCGTCATTTCTCCCCTCATCCCTTCAGGATCCAGCTCCTGCCCGGTTTCATCACCTCCATCTTGCAGTATGAGCAGGAGGTGCTCCTGATGGCGGACGTCTCTCACAAGATCCTGAGGACGGAGACAGTCTTGGACATGCTGGCTGAGATTCAGCAGACCAAGGGAGCAGGCTGGAGGGATGTGGCCAAGAGAGTACTGGCAGGAGAAATTGTCCTGACCAAGTGAGGAAACAGCATTGTTTGGTTAAGTTTGTTTCAGATCAGGTCTGTTTGGTTGGATTGAGTTAGTTAGGTGTGGTCAATTTCAGATCCATCAGTTCAATAGGGTTAAATTTGGTACATACAGGGTGAGTCAAAAAAAGTAAACACCCAAATGTTGGGACTATTGTTTTCATGAAGTTCAGCATGTAGTACTTTCTAAATCTAGGATATCAAAGCCCAATTCATAAGCTTTCTTTTAGTACAAGAATAATTCAAATTGCTCTCGTACTTTTCAAGTTGCAGATTTTTAAACACAACCAACGCTTGAAAGTTTTGTCCACGGATCACAAACAAGGATCACAAACAACGCTTACCTTTTTGTGATCCATGGACAGAACTTTAAAACAGTGGTTGTGTTTAAATTTCCCTAACTTGAATATTGCATGAGTGATTTGAACGATTCTTGTACTCAAAAGAAAGCTTTATATGAATTGGGCTTTCATATCCTAGATTTTGAAAGTGCTACATGCAGAACTTCACTAAAACAATGATCCCGACATTTGGTTTCTTTTTCTTTTGACTCACCTTGTATATCAGTTTAGTTCACTTGAGTTTGTTTTTTTTTAGTCCGATGTATTCGGTTCTGTTTGGTTCCGTTCTAATCACTTTGGTATGGTTGAGATCGGAATGGTTTGGTTCGGTTCAGTTCGCATCAACTCAGTTGTGTTTGATTTGGTTTGCATTGATTCAGTTCAATTTTGTTTGTTTGAGTATGACCTGGTTGACTTTAGATCATTTCGGTTTAGTTCCGTTTAGTTGAATTGGCTTTGGCTTGATTTGGTTTGGTAGGATTGGGTCGGCCTAGGTTGGGATCAGTTGGGTTGAGATTATCAGTGAATGGATGGTGATTGGGTTTAGATTAGTTTTGGGTGATATAAGCAACGGCTAAAGAGGGGTGTGGGGGACACTCACCCCCCCACCCATAAAAAAAACACAGAAAATTTGGCATCCGGAGAAAGCACAGCCATATGAGTTACCACGATTAGCTGAAAGAACATAAAGTCCCTTTTTTCTGTGAAACTTTCAAAAGCAAAACTTTTTTTTTTGCGAGTGGCTGTTTATTGTAAACGTCCCTTAGAAGCGAATAGCGGTAGTTATTGTCTAATGTAGCCATGATAAACATTTTGAACGCTCCCCCCCCCCCATGGGAAGATAGTGTCACTCCTCCCCCCCCCCCCCCCACACTATTTGGTTGTACAGAGGGCGGGTGTCCAGTGGAAAAACCTTGTCTACCTTTGTAACCTCAAGACCCACCCCACATGTACCCCCCCCCCCCACCACCCTAGGATGAGAACCCTGGCTACGGCATTGGATATTAGTGGATTGAGATCAGTTGGGTTGTGATCAGTGGATTGAGAGAAGTTGGGTTTGGATCAAATAGGTCAAGGTCAGGTGGGTTAAGAGCAGTTTGGTTGAGATCAGTTGGGTTGTGATCGGTCAATTGAGATCAGTTGGGTTGAGATCAGTTGAGTTTGGATCAGTTGGGTTTGGATCAGTTGGGTTTGGATCAGTTGGTTTGGATCAGTTGGGTTGAGATCAGTTGGTTTGGATCAGTTGGGTTTGGATCAGTTGGGTTGGGATCAGTTGGGTTGAGATCAGTTGAGTTGAGATCAGTTGGGTTGAGAGAAGTTGGGTTGAGAGAAGTTGGGTTTGGATCAGTTGGGTTTGGATCAGTTGGGTTTGGATCAGTTGGGTTGTGATCGGTCAATTGAGATCAGTTGGGTTGAGATCACTTGGGTTTGGATCAGTTGGGTTTGGATCAGTTGGGTTTGGATCAGTTGGTTTGGATCAGTTGGGTTGAGATCAGTTGGTTTGGATCATTTTGGTTTGGATCAGTTGGGTTTGGATCAGTTGGGTTGAGATCAGTTGAGTTGAGATCAGTTGGGTTGAGATCAGTTGGGTTTGGATCAGTTGGTTCAGATCAGTTGGGTTTGGATCCGTTGGTTTGGATCAGTTGGGTTGAGATCAGTTGGGTTTGGATCAGTTGGGTTTGGATCAGTTGGGTTTGGATCAAATAGGTCAAGGTCAGGTGGGTTAAGAGCAGTTTGGTTGAGATCAGTTGGGTTGTGATCGGTCAATTGAGATCAGTTGGGTTGAGATCAGTTGAGTTTGGATCAGTTGGGTTTGGATCAGTTGGGTTTGGATCAGTTGGTTTGGATCAGTTGGGTTGAGATCAGTTGGTTTGGATCAGTTGAGTTTGGATCAGTTGGGTTGAGATCAGTTGAGTTGAGATCAGTTGGTTTGGATCAGTTGGGTTTGGATCAGTTGGGTTGAGATCAGTTGGGTTTGGATCAGTTGGGTTTGGATCAGTTGGGTTTGGATCAGTTGGGTTTGGATCAGTTGGGTTTGGATCAGTTGGGTTTGGATCAGTTGGGTTTGGATCAGTTGGTTTGGATCAGTTGGGTTTGGATCAGTTGGTTTGGATCAGTTGGGTTTGGATCAGTTGGTTTGGATCAGTTGGGTTTGGATCAGTTGGGTTGAGATCAGTTGGGTTGAGATCAGTTGGGTTTGGATAAGTTGGTTTGGATCAGTTGGGTTTGGATCAGTTGGGTTTGGATCAGTTGGGTTTGGATCAGTTGGGTTTGGATCAGTTGGGTTTGGATCAGTTGGGTTGGATCAGTTGGGTTTGGATCAGTTGGGTTTGGATCAGTTGGGTTGGATCAGTTGGGTTTGGATCAGTTGGGTTTGGATCAGTTGGGTTGAGATCAGTTGGGTTTGGATTAGTTGGTTTGGATCAGTTGGGTTTGGATCAGTTGGGTTTGGATCAGTTGGTTTGGATCAGTTGGCTTGAGATCAGTTGGTTTGGATCAGTTGGGTTTGGATCAGTTGGGTTTGGATCAGTTGGGTTGAGATCAGTTGAGTTGAGATCAGTTGGTTTGGATCAGTTGGGTTTGGATCAGTTGGGTTGAGATCAGTTGGGTTTGGATCAGTTGGGTTTGGATCAGTTGGGTTTGGATCAGTTGGGTTTGGATCAGTTGGGTTTGGATCAGTTGGGTTTGGATCAGTTGGGTTGAGATCAGTTGGGTTTGGATTAGTTGGTTTGGATCAGTTGGGTTTGGATCAGTTGGGTTTGGATCAGTTGGTTTGGATCAGTTGGCTTGAGATCAGTTGGTTTGGATCAGTTGGGTTTGGATCAGTTGGGTTTGGATCAGTTGGGTTGAGATCAGTTGAGTTGAGATCAGTTGGTTTGGATCAGTTGGGTTTGGATCAGTTGGGTTGAGATCAGTTGGGTTTGGATCAGTTGGGTTTGGATCAGTTGGGTTTGGATCAGTTGGGTTTGGATCAGTTGGGTTTGGATCAGTTGGGTTTGGATCAGTTGGGTTTGGATCAGTTGGTTTGGATCAGTTGGGTTTGGATCAGTTGGTTTGGATCATTTGGGTTTGGATCAGTTGGTTTGGATCAGTTGGGTTTGGATCAGTTGGGTTGAGATCAGTTGGGTTGAGATCAGTTGGGTTTGGATCAGTTGGGTTTGGATCAGTTGGGTTTGGATCAGTTGGGTTTGGATCAGTTGGGTTTGGATCAGTTGGGTTTGGATCAGTTGGGTTTGGATCAGTTGGGTTGGATCAGTTGGGTTTGGATCAGTTGGGTTTGGATCAGTTGGGTTGGATCAGTTGGGTTTGGATCAGTTGGGTTTGGATCAGTTGGGTTGAGATCAGTTGGGTTTGGATTAGTTGGTTTGGATCAGTTGGGTTTGGATCAGTTGGGTTTGGATCAGTTGGTTTGGATCAGTTGGGTTTGGATCAGTTGGGTTTGGATCAGTTGGGTTTGGATCAGTTGGGTTTGGATCAGTTGGGTTTGGATCAGTTGGGTTTGGATCAGTTGGGTTTGGATCAGTTGGTTTGGATCAGTTGGGTTTGGATCAGTTGGTTTGGATCAGTTGGGTTTGGATCAGTTGGGTTTCGGATCAGTTGGGTTGGATCAGTTGGGTTGAGATCAGTTGGGTTTGGATCAGTTGGGTTTGGATCAGTTGGTTTGGATCAGTTGGGTTTGGATCAGTTGGGTTTGGATCAGTTGGTTTAGATTAGTTGGGTTTGGATCAGTTGGTTTGGATCAGTTGGGTTTGGATCAGTTGGGTTGGATCAGTTGGGTTTGGATCAGTTGGGCTTGGATCAGTTAGGTTGAGATCAGTTGGGTTGAGATCAGTTGGTTTGGATCAGTTGGGTTTGGATCAGTTGGGTTTGGATCAGTTGGTTTGGATCAGTTGGGTTTGGATCAGTTGGGTTTGGATCAGTTGGGTTTGGATCAGTTGGGTTTGGATCAGTTGGGTTTGGATCAGTTGGGTTTGGATCAGTTGGTTTGGATCAGTTGGGTTGGATCAGTTGGTTTGGATCAGTTGGTTTGGATCAGTTGGTTTGGATCAGTTGGTTTGGATCAGTTGGTTTGGATCAGTTGGGTTTGGATCAGTTGGGTTGAGATCAATTGGGTTGAGATCAGTTGGGTTTGGATCAGTTGGTTGAGATCAGTTGGGTTTGGATCCGTTGGTTTGGATCAGTTGGGTTGAGATCAGTTGGTTTGGATCAGTTGGGTTTGGATCAGTTGGGTTTGGATCAGTTGGGTTTGGATCAGTTGGTTTGGATCAGTTGGGTTGAGATCAGTTGGGTTGAGATCAGTTGGGTTGAGAGAAGTTGGGTTTGGATCAGTTGGGTTTGGATCAGTTGGGTTTGGATCAGTTGGGTTTGGATCAGTTGGGTTTGGATCAGTTGGGTTTGGATCAGTTGGGTTTGGATCAGTTGGTTTGGATCAGTTGGGTTTGGATCAGTTGGGTTTGGATCAGTTGGGTTTGGATCAGTTGGTTTGGATCAGTTGGGTGTGGATCAGTTGGTTTGGATCAGTTGGGTTTGGATCAGTTGGTTTGGATCAGTTGGGTTTGGATCAGTTGGGTTTGGATCAGTTGGGTTGAGCTCAGTTGGGTTTGGATCAGTTGGTTTGGATCAGTTGGGTTTGGATCAGTTGTTTGGATCAGTTGGGTTTGGATCAGTTGGGTTGGATCAGTTGGGTTAGGATCAGTTGGGTTTGGATCAGTTGGGTTTGGATCAGTTGGTTTGGATCAGTTGGGTTTGGATCAGTTGGGTTTGGATCAGTTGGTTTGGATTAGTTGGGTTTGGATCAGTTGGTTTGGATCAGTTGGGTTTGGATCAGTTGGGTTGGATCAGTTGGGTTTGGATCAGTTGGGTTTGGATCAGTTGGGTTGAGATCAGTTGGGTTTGGATTAGTTGGTTTGGATCAGTTGGGTTTGGATCAGTTGGTTTGGATCAGTTGGGTTTGGATCAGTTGGGTTTGGATCAGTTGGGTTTGGATCAGTTGGGTTCGGATCAGTTGGTTTGGATCAGTTGGTTTGGATCAGTTGGGTTTGGATCAGTTGGTTTGGATCAGTTGGGTTTGGATCAGTTGGGTTTCGGATCAGTTGGGTTGGATCAGTTGGGTTGAGATCAGTTGGGTTTGGATCAGTTGGGTTTGGATCAGTTGGTTTGGATCAGTTGGGTTTGGATCAGTTGGGTTTGGATCAGTTGGTTTAGATTAGTTGGGTTTGGATCAGTTGGTTTGGATCAGTTGGGTTTGGATCAGTTGGGTTGGATCAGTTGGGTTTGGATCAGTTGGGTTGAGAGAAGTTGGGTTGAGATCAGTTGGGTTGAGAGAAGTTGGGTTTGGATCAGTTGGGTTTGGATCAGTTGGGTTTGGATCAGTTGGGTTTGGATCAGTTGGGTTTGGATCAGTTGGGTTTGGATCAGTTGGGTTTGGATCAGTTGGTTTGGATCAGTTGGGTTTGGATCAGTTGGGTTTGGATCAGTTGGGTTTGGATCAGTTGGTTTGGATCAGTTGGGTTTGGATCAGTTGGTTTGGATCAGTTGGGTTTGGATCAGTTGGTTTGGATCAGTTGGGTTTGGATCAGTTGGGTTTGGATCAGTTGGGTTGAGATCAGTTGGGTTTGGATCAGCTGGTTTGGATCAGTTGGGTTTGGATCAGTTGTTTGGATCAGTTAGGTTGAGATCAGTTGATCAGGCATGCAACTTTTCTTCGGATCAGCTGATTTCCTCTTTTTTTTACTAGAAAAACACTGTTCAAAGTCTTGGAAAGATTTCAATTTCCTCTTTTTTTGTGACTTCCCAGTTGCATGCCTGGTTGATAAGATCAGTGGACTGAGAGAGGTTGGGGTTGGATGAAAAAAAGTAACCAAATAAATTCTGCATGGCTGTCATTCAGGTACAACAACAAGACCTACCGAGTGGACGACATCGACTTTAATATCAATCCCATGAACACATTCGACAAGTTGGACGGCACTAAAATAACCTACGCCCAGTACTACCGGGATGCGTACGGGTTAAATATCAGTGATCTAGGACAGCCACTGCTGGTCAGCAATCCAAAGAAAAGGGTGAGTTATTTCAGATCTTATTGAAAGGGCATTATATAACACCCAAGTAAATCCTTGTCATTTGATTGGAGGATTGTAGGTCAAGGGGCATTAAATAAACAAACCATTGCACAGCCTATGTCAAAACCATTCATTTTTGGTTCCATTCACCCTGCATTTTTGTCCCATCTCTTTTGATCTATTGCACGCTGCGCGCACTCTACGACGCGCAGCGGCCCGACACTATACAATCTTTGCGCTATTTAAACCATTATCATGCATAAAGGCAGTACACAACACTCACCAGTCAACCACAAAGTAAGGACCAGGAACATGTCAATAATCACAGGCAGATTTATTTGTGTGTTTTTTTATTGTAATAGGATCAGCGCCGGGGAATGATTGATCACATCCACCTGATCCCTGAGCTGTGTACCCTGACGGGGCTCAGCGAAGCTATGCGCAGTGATTTCCACGTCATGAAGGACCTGTCTGTGTACACTCGCATCACGCCCAACGTCCGCATGAAAGAGCTGACCAACTTCATCGGTAGCTTTCCCAGGTCAGTAAGGTTTATTTTTCCTTACATCCGGAAACATTTTGTTAAATAACAATTGATGGTAATCTACATTCAGCCAAACTTTTGTGCACCATTTTAACAGTAAGCCAGCACTTTACACAAAAATAACCTGCCCAGCGTGTGAGTGTATTGATTTAAACTCAGTGACATCCAGTGATGTAGAACTGGAGCCCAGGACTCGGATTCAAGTCTGTCTCAAGTCGCCATTTTGTTGACTCTGACTCGACTCAAGTCACATAGGCAAAAGACTTGGGCTTGGATTCAGACTCGGCCATCATGACTCCGATTTGACACTAATGACTTGTGACTCGTGAGCAGTGAATCATATATTTATTTACACCAAAAACAAACCATTTCAGCATATTTCTTTTTTCCCCCCCAAAGTAGCATTTAAGTAAGACTAAAGAACGTTAAGCACATGAAATGTACCACATCTCACTCCAGGTGGTGTTTCAAATGATGAAAGTTTGTCATTAAATGCACCCCTCCCTATATCCTGCAACATCTAATATATTACATATCACTTTAAGTGAGTCAATCCTGATTCACATCCATCCATCATCCATCTGTTTATAGTCCGCCCACCAACTAGAGGGTTGGACTCCATGGTGATCATGTCTACTTGACCCAATCGCTTTCTTCCGATCCATTGATCCATAGATATTTCATCCATTTTATATAAATGTTACTCAGACTCGAACTAGAATCAAATGACTCGTCGCTTGGACTTGGATTTGGACTCAGCCACGACCCAATGAACCGATCCAGTAAGCCCCTCCCACTGCGCACATGGGCAAATTAACACGTGCTCCTCTCCAATGCCACGCTGCATTTTCCTTCCGCGCGCATCATACGCGCGTGCACGCATGACGGACTTTTGTGCATGCACGTCGGACATAAATCAAGGCTGTGATTGGTCAGAATACCATGGGGCGGTGCTTACTGGATCGGTCCATTGACTTGAGACTCCGACTCGGACTCGACCCTCAAGTGACTCAACCACAACACTGGAGACATGAAACATAATAATGTGTATGCTTTACAGAGTGGACTTTTAATAATAAGTTTTGCCCTTCACCGATGTATAAACACTGTATACTCAGTGCATAGACTGGACCTTTGCTGGTAATTGAAAACATAGCTTGCCAATGGTAAACATGAATGCCACAATCACAAAATATTTTATTCGGGCCCAGGCTGACCTAGAAAATAATGATTTGTGACCTGTGTTCTTAACCTTCTTTCAGGAATCAAGAGGCGAATACTTACCTGCAAAAGTGGCAGGTGAGCTTTGAAGCTCAGCCAGTCAGGATCAACGCTCGCATCATGGATCGGGAGAAAATCCTCACCGGTCACCAGGGAAAGAATGTGAGTCTGACAAAGAGATTGGGATGTCGAGCTGAAGACCAGTTTATAAGTTACATGTAGTTTTAGTGAATGCGAAGTGAATTTGACGACACGAAACGTTTGTCGTGAAATTGGCTAGAAAGGTTTGTTGGATACTTTCTATTTCCTTTTTTTTTTCCTTGGAGCAACAAAATTGTTCATATTAAAGAAGGGTGCCTAAAAACTAACCTGTTGAAGTTTCAGCTCAGTGGATAAAATACAGGGTGGGTAAAAAAAAGTGAAACCCAAATGTCGGGACGTCTGTTTTTGGGAAGTTCTGCATGTGCACTTCCAACATCTAGCATTTGAAAGCCCAATTCATAAGCTTTCTTTGAGTACAAGAATCATTCAAATCACTCATGTACTTTTGAAGTTACGGAATTTTAAACACAACCTTTTCATATCCTAGATTTTGGAAGTGCTACATAGAGAACTTCACTAGAACAATGGTGCCGACATTTGGGTTTGGGTTTTTTTTTATTCACCCTGTACATTTTGAGAAAACAGAAAATGTATGTGCAAGTTATTGTATCTTGTAACCAGATTCTGTTGCTAACACTCGTAAATATGTGTGTGTCCATAACTATATTTTGAGAACACTTTGAATGTTACTTTTCCTCTTTAGGTGGAATAATTTCTCAGGATATGTGATACCAGTCCTTTCTTCACTTTGAGCAAGGTTGAACTGACATTAATTCGGTAGAAACTTTCCTGGGTAGTTGGCAAAAATCCTGAAAGTGTTTGAAAAGAAAAAGAACAGGCATTGGAATAATGAGATTTGTGAAATCAGTACTATGTTTTGTTTGCTTATAAATGATCGTTGTGAGCGCTTCTTAAAAGGGGAACTAGTACCTGAAATCCCCCAAAATTTCATGTTTTGGATTGCTTACTTAGCCTATTTCAAACATCTGGTTGAAAGGAAACTAACCTAATGTCTTATAGTCAGGTGGCTTAGATCTAATTTTCGTCAAGATCGTGACCGACTGGTCCAAAGCACCAAACTTGGCAGATATATTCTTATAGACCTAGAGAAGATATTTAAAAGGGGTGACACCTGAAATTCTTTTGGGAAGGGTGCCTAATTTGCATAAATCGTTCATCCCTGTCGTGTAATATATTTATTCCCATATTTGGGTATATTTCTATTTTTTTATTTTTTTGAAAAGTGTATTTTGGGGATTCTACTTACATATCTTTACTTAAATAACATTTTCCAAAGCATATAAGTGACTGAATAATTATGAGGACATAGTAACGATAAAAAATGGCTACTATTATGCCCTAAAATTGCGCGCAGATATCATCAATTAGTCTTGCCAAACATTAGCATTGATGAACTTCAAATTCACCGAGTAGCTTACTGGTACAGCTACCCTATTAAAACCTTATGCAAAATCATGTGAACAATGATAACATTGTGATATTAAGCCCAGAAAACAAAAACTGGGAAAAAACGAGGTGTCCATAAATTAGGCTAACAAGTAGGTGAAGGGTTGCCTAACATGGAACACTGGAACAAGTTCAAGGAAATTCCCCTAATTATTGTTGAGAAAACGTTTTGGCGTAGACAAAATTATTGTAAACAACAATAATCTCTTATTTAGGGGGATTTTGTTGAACTTGTTTAAGTCCCCACGTTACCCTTCCCGTACTAGCCCAATTTACGGACACCACATTTTCTCCCCTTTTTTGGTCTTTTGGGCTAAACATCAAGATGTTATCAATTTTCACTTGATTTCCCACTTATTTTTGTTAGGGTAACTATGCCAGTAAGTAACTTTGTTAATTTGAAGCTCATCAATACCCATGTTTGGCAAGACTAGTTGATATATGAGGAAAAGGTAAATGCGCGTAACTTTAGGGTAAAATAGTAGCAATTTTGGTTCTTTACTATGTCCTCCTAATTATTCAGTCACTTATATGTTTTACAAAATGTTATTGAAGTAAGAATATGCAAGTAGAATCACCAAAATACACTTTTTAAAAAAATAAATAAATAAAAATATACCCAAATATTGGAATAAATATATTACACGGCAGGGATTAACGATTTATGCAAATTAAGCACCCTTCCTAAAAGAATTTCAGGTGTCACCCCTTCTAAATATCTTCTCTAGGGCTACAAGAATCTATCTGCCAAGTTTGGTGCTTTGGACCAGTCAGTCACGATTCCGACCATATGCCACCTGACTATTACCGTTGCCGAGAAAAGAGGAAAAATCCCCAGTTGTTTACATCGCACACAACGGAGTACGAATATGTTTTTCGTGTCGTTCTCAGTATATGATATACACGTTGTGTGTCTCGGGAACAGCATTGACCAATCACCAAAGTAAAAAAAAAATGACGTTTCTTTAACGTCCGCAAAAGGGAAACACTTTACGTATGAAATCACAACTAGCATCCAAATAGCTCAATTAATGGGGTAGCAAAAGTGGACCCCGAATTTCGTTCTTGCACGTAGGAATAACACAAAAACACCCAGTTTTGAAAGGATAGTGGTGTGGATGTTTATATATCCTACTTCTTAAGGTTCTTTCGGATTAACATCATCTCGTTCAAAGCACGTTTTGTAGCCCAATTGGGCTGTTCCAGGACCTAGTGTCCCTTTAAAGGCACAGAGGATTATTTGCATTTGTCTCAAAAGTAACCTTCTGAATTATCATTGAAATGCTTACTTGGATTAAAGATTGTACTGGTACTAAACAATCTGTAAAATTGTTTTGTCTGGCTTGCTGTCATTTAGAAAAAATCAAGAAATGTAGGTGATTTCTAAGGATCAGTCGATTGACTGATTTTTTGGAAAATAAAGAGATCTATTGACGAAATAGTGTTTCATTATCAAAAGGTTGTGTATGGTTTTTCACTCTTTTCTTGTAAAGTGTAATATCCACAGCTGAAACTTCAACAGCTTAAATTTTGGATATTCTTCTTTGGAATTTTGAACAAAATGCATGAAAAGAAAATAATCCTATAAGAAAATAATCCTATATGCCTTTAAACATCAACAGGAGATTTCCTTGGGGGAGAATGCAGAGTGGAGCAGAGATCTGCGGAAGGATCTGCTGAGCTGTATTGGTCTGCACAACTGGCTGCTGATCTACACAGCGCGTGATAGCAAGAACGCCATGGAATTCCTGAACGCCTTCAACACAGTGGCACCGCGTTTGGGAATGGAAACCAGACCACCCTTAATGTAAGACTGCTTACAAGATAGTTAGTTGGGTTATTTGAGCCGAGCCCAACTCCAGGTGTTGAGGCAATTGAGTTGAGTCTGAGTCTAAGTTTAAAAGCAATTGGGTCGAGTCTGAGTCCAAGTTTGGAAGCAATTGGGTCGAGTTTGAGTCCATGTGTGGAAGTAATTGGGTCGAGTCTGAGTCCAAGTTTGAAAGCAATAGGGTCGAGTCTGAGTCCAAGTTTGGAAGCAATTGGGTCGAGTCTGAGTCCAAATTTGGAAGCAGTTAGGTCGAGTCCGAGTCCAAGTTTTGAAGTGATGGGGTCGAGTCTGGAGTCCAAGCTGGAAGCAACTGGGTCGAGTCTGAGTCAAGGTTTGGAAGCAGTTGGGTCGAGTCTGAGTCCAAGTTTGGAAGCAGTTGGGTCAAGACTGAGTCCAGGTTTGGAAGCAAATGGGTTGAGTCTGAGTCCAAGTTTGGAAGCAATTGGAACGAGTCTGAGTCCAAGTTTGGAAGCAATTGGGTCGAGTCTGAGTCCAGGTTTGAAAGCAGTTTGGTCGAGTCCGATTCCGAGTCTCAAGTTGCAAAAAACTGCACTGTGGAGAGCAGTGAAGCATGAATGAATCTGCCTGCTTGCCATGAGCTTAACGACACCAAAACATTGTGCAGGGATTTGAAGTGTTTCCGTACTCCACAGAAGATTGCCTCAAAATATTTTGAAGTGTGGATGCAAACTTGATTGGCTAAAGTGGTTTTGCCAATCTTGAAGGGCTTTGAAGTGCAGAATTTATTTGTTTTCCTTTTACTCTCTCTTTCATTATTTGTTTGGTGTTCTTTAGATGTGAGCTACGTGATGACCGCACTGAAAGCTTTATCCGTGCCATCCGACAGAACTTGAGTCCCCAGACACAGATGGTGAGTGTGATTAAAGGCTGCCTTCTCAATTTTGACTTGAAAGCCTGTACTCCCATAGCCTTGACCAAGTCTGTCTACTTGTTCCCTGAGAGAAGACTGTTTACCATAGCCTGAACTACTTATAATAGTGAGCATATATTTTTCGTCAAGGCTGTCTTTTGCCTCGACTGTTGGGGAAAAGTTAGATATGTGTGTGTGGGGCGTAATTAAGCAAGCAGATAAGCAAGGGGATCGTTGAGGCTACTATGCACGGCGCAGTGTTGTGGCAATTTACAAGTACAGTACAATGGGTACGCAAATCAGGCTAATATATGCTGTACGGTAGCGGCCGCTTGCTACGGGAACAAGTAGACAGACTTGGTCATGATCAAAAGCTAGTATTCCCATCAAATGTCATTGGAAGCTGTTTTTTGAAGTGAACTTGCATGCTCAGTCGCCTCATCGCCTTATTTTCACAAAGCCTAATAAGCACTTTTACCAGCAGTATTCAGAATTTTGTTTACTGTTTTGTTCCATCGTTACCCAGGTTGTGTGTATCCTACCAACTATTCGTAAGGATCGCTACGACGCCATCAAGAAGTTCTGCTGTCTAGAGGCACCGGTACCCAGCCAGTGCATTGTGGGTCGCACTATCAACAAGAAACAGACCGTCATGTCCGTAGCTACCAAGATTGCTATGCAAATCAACTGCAAGATGGGGGGAGAGTTGTGGACAGTTTTAATTCCAGTAAGTCATACAATGGTATTCAATCTCGTGAATATGTATGAGCGTAATGTTCTTTATTCATTTTTTGTAATCATGTCAAAAATATTGACAGTTTTAACGCGAAATTCAAAACAAGGTTTTTTCCCAAATACGTCAATGTTGGCAGTTATTTTATGTTTGTATCCAAATGAGAAATTTTTGGCAAACATTTTCATTGTTAACGGCAGGCTTTGACATGAGTCAATGCCGTCTTAACCTGTTAGTCCCAGTACCGCCCCAAAGCACCCCAGCACTTTGCAGTAAATACAGTGTATTACAGGCAAAAATAAGTGTATTACAATGTTATGTATTTATTACTTAAAGTGCAGTAGATGAATTTGGTGTCTGGTTCCCAGACTGTGGCCTTACTATCATTGCATAAAAAAATAATCAGTGACCAGTCTAATTTCTGGGACACACTACTGACACTAGGGTATGTGTAACTGAGTCACCAAAACATGTTCCAATTTATAAAGGGGCTTCAGAGAAACCTTTAAAACATGACCATTAATTCAAGTAGAAACTTGCAAAGACAATTTTAAAAAGTGCTCCCAAATTCCTCTGTGTTGGCCATTTGTGAGAAACTGCTTCACTGTTAGCAACATTTTCCGAGTTGTGAAGATATCCTGTATATAGTATGCTCTGTCCCCTAACGACGGGCAGAGCATACTGTCCAAAACGTTGAGTTTCTCCCTGTCACATAGTGCTACCATAAATCTTTATCTCATTGTGAAAATTTGTCAATCGACACAGCCAAATAAAGAGCTGGAGATTCCTTTACATTTGATGTAAATGTTTCACTTTTTTTGTAAGTTAGTTGCTTTGTGCAATTACCGGTACAGTTTTTGAGTTTTTACACAAGTTTTTCCAGTGAATTCATGTATCGATGCATGCTTAATTGCAATACATTGAATTGGTGTTCTACAAAAGTTAAATAGCTTTGTCTTTAGCTCATTCTGTCTCCGTTTGTCTTCCCATTTATTACCTTCAGTCCAAAATGTTGATGATGGTGGTAGGAATCGACTCTTATCACGACTCCGCCACTAGAGGGCGCTCTGTCGGTGGCTTTGTCGCTTCCATGAATCATGACCTTAGCAGGTAAGTACACTATTTGGTCATTGTTTCACAGTGTTACTTTTCATGCAGTCGTAAGCCAATTCAGCTGCACAGCTTTAGTAACTTGAGCCTCGTGGTTACTGTAGCTGTACACACGAGGAGCAGACAACATCACTTATAGCATGGACAGTGTCGCTAGCAGAAAGTAAATATCTGCAGGAGTTGTTCTGAATCACGTCCCAATTCCGTGCTGTGGCCTCGTGGTTACAGGCATTACATTCATAGTCTGCGGGTAATTCTGCAGGTTGTGGGTTCGAGTCCAGCCTAGGGTTATGGTGTGCGTGTGCCCTTGGGCAAGGCACTTTGTCACACATTGTTTCTCCCCACCCAGGTGTAAATGGGTACCTGTGAGGGCAGAGATGGTTATTGTGGTTGAATAAGCTTCCTTGCACCTAACAGGTTGCATGGAGCTGTATACTTCCCAGGGAGCTGAGATGGTATTTGGAATGTTTCATGGGCCCAATGAGCAGGGGTAATAATGATGTAGCACCATGAGCGCTGGTACCTGGAAGGTACGTGCGCTTTGTAAACACCCACTATTGGTATCATTCTTGGATAAGCTTGATACAATCCAATATCACATCACAGATGCCATGCGCTGAACCGACTAATAATAGCAACCTTGCACGCCTGTGCGTCATGTCAACGCTTGCGCGAACCCATTCATGGATTCGCCAAATTACAAACCAACTACTAACGCAAATTTCCCAAAATGCGTCACTTGACGCATCTTTGGAAATGGCCTTCTTTTATTGTTTTCTTCCAAATGACAGCATGCCAGAAAGAATAATTTCACAGGGAGTCTAGTGCCATTACTATCTCTTTTAAACAATGTGAGCTTTTCAACAATAATTTCATCAGTTACTTTTTGGATAGCTGCAAATGATCTACTCTACCTTCTACTGACAAAATCCTTGTTCAATGTGGAGATCGGACTCGTACCAAAAACCCTGTGAAATAATTCCGCATGAAATTTTGTCACTCTTAAAAAAAAAGTTTTTGAAGGGGATTTAAAAAAGTGTTTTAAAGTGCATTTCATTACGGAATCCAGTTACTAGAAACCAACAAATTGTGCATGCATTTTCTTTGTTTTCTCAAAATGTATCGTATCCACTGAGCTGAAGCTTCAACGAGTTTAGTTGTTATGCACCTTTCTTTAAGATTTTGAGCAATTTTTTTGTTCTTCAAACGGAAAAAATTGCACACAAAAATGATCTTATGGACCTTTTAAAATATCCACTGTCGCTCGCCATGTTATTGTGTTTACAGGTACTTTTCACGATGTACATTCCAGCACACAGGACAGGAGCTCATTGATGGTCTCAAAGTCTGCATGACAAGTAAGTATATGATGGAGCACACATGCTTGGAGGGACAGTTAGTGTGAAATAGCTTAATTTTTCCGTCCCGACTTTGCTTCTATCAGCGTCTCAATTTTGCTTCAAATCTCCATGCTATAGACCATTATCACGTTGCGGTTATCTTGATTTTTCCCCCATTCAAATCAACACAACCAAAGCGAGGCTGGAGGAAAAAATAGTCTGGTTCCTTCTTGCACAAAAAACATTATCATTCAGTACTGTTATTGGATACAGGGAACATGACCGAAATGGTGGCAGCTTGATAAAGGTCCACTGCAATCTGCCAGTCTGCCCCTCCCCTGGTTATGCTGCTGGTCATGACTTTCCCTGCATGTATATTTTTTCGTTTAGGTGCATTGAGGAAGTTTAAAGAAATCAACGGTAAGTTGCCCGAGAGAGTCATCATCTATCGCGATGGCGTCGGCGATGGGCAACTGCCGGCTGTGGTGGAGTATGAACTACCACAAGTGATTGATACCTTCAGAATGATAGGAACAGACTATAGGTAGGTTGAGCACTCTCACTGGTGTTGTAGTTGAGTCCATCGCCAGTCCATCACACAAGCCCAGTCGTAGGTAACAGCATAAATAGTGATATTGGAATGTTTTTTGTAGAGTTCGTTTGAATAGCTTGTGACGTTGCTTGTGACGTTGTTTGTGATGGACTAAACTACAGCGCGTCCCCAAATGCCGCAACATATTTTTGCGAGGCTCTAGCGTCACTTTGGAGCATGTACTGCAATAATTTGTATATAATTTTTAAGCTTGGAATCTTAAGTTTATCCCTGGCAAGTATTGGTTTGATTTTCAAAAAAGTTTTGAAATGATTTGTGTTCAAATAAGGCATATCAAAAACAAATTTAACTGATTTCAAGGAAAATCAATCATGCACATTTTTTCTAATGTGGAAATGGTTTGTCATGATGCGACGATCTTGTCGTCTTTTACTTTCTGTGTTTTTTATTCTCTTTGATCCACGTAGACTACACCTTAAAAGAATTCACATTATTATTCTTCGTTTCAAGTTTTATTTTGAAATTTTCAACCTAATGACTCGACTCTACGCGACTCGAGTCACTTCTTTAAAATTACTTGACTCAATTCAAGTCACAAAATTAGGACTCGATACAAATCTGCCAAAAAAATATGTTACATGGTATATCTGTGTTGTTGCCTCAAATTATATTTTTTCGTTTTGAATCTTTCACATTTTGCTTTTTGACATAGAAGTGCCATTTACTAGTGTCTCAAGTCATGATAGACAAGACTGTGCCAATAAATGTTGTCTTTTATTGTTTGTGTACAGCCCTAAGTGCGCTGTGGTCGTCGTTAAGAAGCGAATCAACAATAGATTTTGCTCCTTGAATCAAGGAAATCTCGTGAACCCATCCCCAGGAACGGTGATCGACTCGGTGGTCACCAAACCAGACTTGTAAGTAAACAACTCACTGGAAAAACATCAAAACAGAAAACAAATTATTATCCCTGTACACTGTAACTAACAAAAACTTAAAAACTTCTGAAAATCATAAGTTTGTTCTGTTATTATAGACTGCTAGTGCAGTGCCCGTTCAAAATGTGCCTGTTTGGAACGGGCAAATTGCTTGGCCTTCGGTAGAACAGCGCGCCATTTCTATCACTCTGACCAGTCTCCATTTTGTGTCCACAGATACGACTTCTTCCTTGTCAGTCAGTCTGTACGCCAGGGCACGGTCACTCCAACCAGTTACAATGTGATCTGGGACAACTCGGGTCTGGCACCAGACAGCATGCAAAGCCTGACCTACAAGCTCACCCATCTGTACTTCAATTGGCCGGTAAGGAGCGGGGCAAGTTATGAATGGCATTCCAAAGCACTGTGACTATCCTGTATATATGGGGGGCTAATCGTCCTTACTCGCAGCATGAGCTGAATTGCAAAGGACGTAGCTACAATGTGGTCTAGCCAAAGGCATGTAAAGGCACCTTATACGCAGCCGCCGTATGACCCATGTCTGACCACGGAGCACAGCAAGAGATCCAAAGTGTTGATTTTTGCGGAGGGAGGAAAACTGGAGGTCCTTACGGAACAAAGATGGCAGACGGCTGCTTCAATATGCGCATGTCATAAGACATGTCTTGAGGGAACAAAGATGGCAGACGGCTGCTTCAGCACGTGCAATGTCATAAGACAGGTCATGAGGGAACAAAGATGGCAGGCAGCTGCTTCAGTACATGCAATGTTATAAGACACATTATGAGGGAACAAAGATGGCAGGCGGCTGCTTCAGTACGTGCAATGTCATCAGACATGTCATGAGGGAACAAAGATGGCAGACGGCTGCTTCAATATGCGCATGTCATTAGACACGTCATGAGGGAACAAAGATGGCAGACGGCTGCTTCAGCACGTGCAATGTCATAAGACATGTCATGAGGGAACAAAGATGGCAGGCAGCTGCTTCAGTACATGCAATGTTATAAGACACATTATGAGGGAACAAAGATGGCAGACTGCTGCTTCAGTATGTGCAATGTCATAAAGACAGTACAGTAATTATAGAGTTCAGTGGTCTAGTTCCGTACTCATCTTGTCTGTTTCTTCTGTTGCTTTGCAGGGAACCATTCGTGTACCGGCCCCCTGCCTCTACGCTCACAAGCTGTCTTTCCTTGTTGGCCAAAGCCTGCACAAAGAGCCGCGGATTGAGTTGGCTGACCGGCTGTTCTTCCTATAGGCAGTAAGACCAGGGGTAATATGTAAACAATTGCTTATACATGTATATCTTATCTTTACATGTATATCTTTGTCAGTGGGACTGACTGTTTTCTGCCGACATCCGCGAATGTTAACAACAAAGGCATACGGTCTTCCTATGTCGTATTATCAGAAATTAAACTTTCATGCTGTAACGCTAAAGCTCCATGTTGGAGATATCATCACTGTTTTGCTCACAGAAAAATTTGGAAATTAGCATAAAGAAAGTGACTGGAAAGATTCAAAATAATGTAAATGGGGCACAAAACAGCAATTAATGATTACTTACATCTCTTTCAGTTTGTCAGGTGTAAAAAACCTGAAAACGACTTCTTAATGAGGGTTTTGAGGTCACAAGAAGTTAGGTCATTCCATGGGTTGGATGGTCACCATCTCAGATTTTACTTTTAACATTCTTCCATAAGATCCAATTGTTGCGATCTTCCATAAGATCCAGTTGTGGCGATTTTTCATAAGATCCAATTGTTGCGATCTTTCATAATATCCAATTGTTGCGATCTTCCATACGATCCAATTGTTACGATCTTCCATACGATCCAATTGTTGCGATCTTCCATAAGATCCAATTGTTGCGATCTTCCATACGATCCAATTGTTGCAATATTCCAATTGTTGCAAGTTCAAAAGAAAAGTTAATTAAGAATTTTGTTGTTTTAGAATTGTGAACTTGCACAAAATGTAGGCTTGTAGATATTAGGTGAAATTTTTAAACGTGATTTACTTTAAGTTGCACAAGTTTAAAAAACAACACAATTTTCTGAGGTTTCTACAAGTCTTTTCGAAGTATATAGCAGTTACAATGTAGAAAATCCATCATGTGTTTTGTAATTTGACTGAAGCATGACAGCAGTGTTTTATTCATCTTACATCCTGCCAAAATGCCTTTGAACAAAAATAATGACTTTGTTAATCTTAAAAATGTATTTTTTTATACTTACAATTTTCGCTGTTTTACAAAATGTGAATCAAAATTGATGTTACTTTTTTGTAAGAAATGTTAGCAATTGCAGATTGAATTCTAGCAGTGATGTATAGTCAAAGGGGCTTTGAATGAGACTTTGAACATGGACACGTCACTTTGCCCATATGCAGGCTTACAGTGTTGCCAAATTTCTAATTGATATTCTTAACCCAGCCTAGTGTTTGCATGGTGCTTGTGTTCTTGAGCAAGCCACTTTACCTTGACTTTACACTCTCGAATAGCTGAGAAACCTAAATCTTATAGTGCAACCATGCAGCACAAGAAATCATACTTTTGTTTGAAGTCCGACACATAGACCTCATGCCTCACGGGCATCTCAGAGGCTGTTCGTTGTTATTTTAATCTAGTAACAATGAATGCACAAAAGATTGCCGCATGCCTAGCCAAGCAATACCAAACCATTGCCCTCTAACTCCGCCCTAATGCATAAGGTCTATTAGTACTGGTCTGTAACATGTTTCAAATCTTATCATAGGTTTCTCCGTAAATTCTTTTCACAGCCTTGCATCCAGTCTGCTTATATTGTCCATTTTTTTTTTCAAGTTGGACATACATGGCACCAGTCTAGTCTTTCACTTAAAATGTTAAAATTGGTTCATGCTTCCAAATCACTTGGAATAGTCGATAAGAAATTTCTGGGTTTTTTTAGTTTGAATTAAGACTTTTAATTCGATATGAGTAAAATACTAATGATCTCATCTTTACCTTATACAAAAATGGCAAACTTGCCTGAATACATATGTCCAACACTCAAGATTGTTATTTTTAATCAGTGGTTACTAATGTGCTTTCATTTCGTTCTATTAATTATCAATTATTAACTAATTCTTAATTAATTGTATCTTATTAATTAGTTGGTTCTTAGAGTTCTTTAAATGATTGCATATTTTTATTAGTTTGTATTCATTTGTATTATTTTTTCTGGGTGTTTTTTTTTTGGGGGGGGGGGGTCAATTTATTTCATCCCGAGTTTTTATATTTTGTGTTTTTCCTTCTAATTTCACTTTGTAACTTCATATAGTTTGGGTCGAATAAATTTATAATAATAATAATAATTATGTCTTGATCCTTTTTATGCTGATGCTCATGCCTCTGAAGTAGTATAAATGGATGTATAGTCAGATAATATATAATTTCCCCTATTTTTATTGAAGTGGAATGCTGTGGCCTCGTGGTTAAGGGCATTGAATTCGTCGTCTGCAGGTAATTCTGCAGGTTGTGGGTTTGAGTCCAGCATGGGGTCATGGTACGTGTGCCCTTGGGCAAGGCACTTCGTCACTCATTGCTTCTCTCCACCCAGGAGTAAATGGGTACCTGTGAGGGCATAGATGGTTATTGTGATTGAATTAGCTTCCTCGCTCCTAACAGGCATCATCGAGCTGTATACTCCCCAGGGAGCTGAGATGGTATTTGGAATGTTTCATTGGCCCAATGCGCAGGGGTAATAATGATGTAGGGCCTTGAGCACCAGTCCTGGTGGATACGTGCGCTTTATAAATACCCACTATTATTATTATTTTCATTGAAGACTTAGTGTCGTGCAGGGATCACAAGCAAATCAAGGGGGCACTATACTTGGCACTATTTAGAGGGATAATAAAATCTGCAAAAGAGCTCTCACTAAATTTGTGGAAAGAGTCCTTACGTAAAGAAAGACGTCAAAAGCCCTGGAGAGAAAAACAAAAGATGCAGGCAGCTGTGAGGGGGGGGGGAGCGTCCAGAAGATTCTTAGATCTTTTTGGAAAATGTGTTGGCCCTGAAAAGGATCGCGTTCGGGTTTAAACAAATTTATTCAATTAATGTAACTGAATAAACGTATTCAATGGTAAAGGCAGCTCTATTTTTGTCAGTCTTGGGTGAAATTCGTTGCTCCTGTGTGAGGAACTCTAATGTTTCCTTCACTGTCAGCTGCACACCCCCTCCTTTTTTTCTCGTCGCCGAATACAAATTGTAGCCTAGGCCTACATTTGATTCTATAGCTCAGAATAGCTGATTCAATGACTCAAAACTCGAATGTTTAAAATTAATGATGATCTTTTGCTGAAGTGGTCAGAAATTGCCTCAGATTGCACCACAGAGCATCTAGATTCCAAAAGTTGTTCGGGGCCCGAACCCCGGCCACGCCATAAGGGGCTTCGCGCTTCGCATTGGTTCTAATTAAGGTATGCCCCCCCCCCCCCCCCGCCTACCCAACTATCGAGAAGCTATTGATGCCCTTGACTGGATTAAAGATCGTATATACAAAACACCCCGAAGAAATCGAGAAATGTATGTATAGGTGATTTCCAAAGATCCAACAATTGACTATAAGTTTTGGAATAAAGATTTCTACTGACGAAATCGTCTTTTGTTTCGTGAACAAAAGGTTCCAGTTGTGCATCCCCTCACACTCATTCTCGAAAAGTATAGGCATAATGTCCACTGAGCTGAAACTTCAACAGGTTAGGTTTTGAACCGTCTTCTTTGGAGTTTGAGTGTTATTATTGGAAACGAACAAACTAAGGGCAAAAACCAAACGATCATATACGCTTCTGCTTTTTATTTTAAGTAAATGTCAGAGAACATTTCAAAACATGCTTTGGTTAAACTTCTACGATGAAGAAAACAATATTAAAAGTTCTGAAATAGTGCTCGTTTAACAAAGTGCAATTTTAATTTTGTTTCGGGCGAATTTTCACAAATCTACATTTCAAATCGTAATAAAATGTCTTTTTGCCCCTGCGAGTTCTGCTAGTCTATTTTGCTCGTGTGTGTTTTTTTTTGATAAGAGTGTTGATACACTTATCGAAGTTTTTAAATGTTGAACCCCCGATTTATTGCCGGGTGCTAAAAAAGCATCAAAACGAAAAATTTGGTGATATAATAAGAAAACAGTCCCCAAAACGCAAGGATTCTAGCACTGTCCGATCAGATCGAGACCGCGTCTGTCACTGCTTGGGCTTAGGCCTACATTTGACTTTTACCAAAGAAATGTTCACGAGCTTGTTTACCTCCAATTTACGCAACAATTGTAAGCACGTCAGCTGTGGGACTCTTCACCTGTTAATTGTTTAATGAACTTTCGCTCCCTTTTAATATTTCGTCTCATCATCATCCGGTCGATACCCACCATTGTTGGTTGAGGTGTACTATAATTATTATGCATTTAAATGAGGTAAATCTATTCTTTTTAGCAATTCAGGTAAATGATTTTGTTTTTTGTTTTGTTTGTTTTGGGCTGTTAATACCAAACACAATACGAATTACATTGTAAATGTAATCTTCTGCCTTTCTGTTTCCTGAAACCTGCTGAAAATATATTTCAACTTTTCTCATTTTCTTGAAATCCTCGAGGTTTTTTTTTTGGGGGGGGGGGGGGAGTAAGCCTATAGCTACTTGTCTTCCAAAAAACCTAAACCTCCGCCGTGATGAGAGTAGTATTGATTTGTTGGCATGCAAACGGTGAAGTTTCCCAATTTTGTTCTTAAATTCCAGTCTCTCTTCGGGGACGAATAAATTGGCGCACGTAGTGCTGTTTGTGTGCTGAACCGGTGGATTTGCAGTGTGTGTGATGGCAATAATTGCCTTGTTTGGATCTAATATTGAATTTACATCACCCAGACGCAAATTAATTGTTCGGATCTAATTTTCTGCTGCTCTGACAAAAGAAAAGCGGATGTCCGCGTTTGGTCTGCCCAGCCATTACAGAAAAACATAACCTGTATCTCTGGTAACAGAAAAACAAAAAGCTAAAAAATTGAACCTTCAAAAACTTTTAAACTGCTGTCTGCTACTAATTTGCACGTGACACCCGTTCGCTACCCTTCGCTCAGTTTTCTTATTAACAGCGCCCTCTTGCACCAAATGGTAAAAACAAAAAAACACACATGACATGCATGACATGTGCTCACCTCAATTATTTGCAAGAAGTACCCTGGACTTCATGGACTTTGGTAGCCCCATAAATGTGGCCTATTTACTGGACTGCCTCCGTAAACATAGGCCACACATCCACATGTACAAAAATCGTGTCGACGGAGCCAAATTTTGATTTTCACATTTAGGCTTAGTTTGTAGGTTTTTTTTGCTTTAGAAGCATACTCACCCTCTTTATAGGCTAATCAGAAAGTGCTGCCTTTTTCAGACGTATATTTTTCGTGAAATTTCCAGATTCGTTTTTACACGTTTGCGTATCAAAATTTCAACATGAAATTTCACAAAAATTAGACATCTGAAAAAGGCAGCACTTTCTGATTAGCCTGTAAAGAGGGTGAGTATGCTTCTAAAGCAAAAAAAACCTACAAACTAAGCCTAAATGTGAAAATCAAAATTTGGCTCCGTCGACACGATTTTTGTACATGTGGATGTGTGGCCTATGTTTACGGAGGCAGTCCAGTAAATAGGCCACATTTATGGGGCTAGGACTTTGGAGGTAGGAAAACTGCTCTTTTGATATTCCCGTAAGTATTTCTTGAAGAATAACATTGAATTAGCCCCTTAAATGTGGCCAATTTATTGGACTACCTCCGTAAATAAAGGCCACACCGTCCACCATGTACAAAAACTTGTCGAACTTTGTCAAGTTTGATTTTCACATTTAGGCTTTGCTGGAGTTACATACCCAGCCCTAAATTTTTTCATTGGGTTGTCATTTATGACAACAATAAAAATATAAAAAAATAAATGACAACCCAATGAAAAAATTTAGGGCTGGGCAACTCCAGCTAATTTAGGCTAAGTTTGTAGCTTGATGAGTAACTCCAGCTGACATGCTCATATTCATCTCACATGTAGCTAGGCCCTACATCATGTGAATGAATATGAGCATGTCAGCTGTGG